CCACCCATTGTACAGCGCTACGGAATTTGTTGGCGCTATATAAATAATAAAATAATAAGAATAATAAGAAACCTTAAATTGGAGGGGTAGGGGGGAGAATATTGCCTAAACATTGTGTAGATAGATGGGCAACATCCTCCGATTATCCAAATGAGACAACAGAAAATCGATATACAGAAAAGCAAATATAACAAAAGTGAGAAATATAGGAGAGGAAGTGCAGCATATCAATTAGGATGCCATATAGAATACAGAAAGCCCTAAAAAACTGCGCCTTCAAGGACACCTAAATGTCTAGAAATTATAAGCTGTAATAAGTGGCGTTTTGATATCTGCTAGTTCTGGTTTGATTCCCTGAATCTGTGCCTTCCAGGGCACCTAGCGTCTGAGTAAAGATTTAAATCCCTGAATCTGTGCCTTCCAGGGCACCTAGCATCTGAGTAAAGATTTAAATCCCTGAATCTGTGCCTTCCAGGGCACCTAGCGTCTGAGTAAAGATTTAAATCCCTGAATCTGTGCCTTCCAGGGCACCTAGCGTCTGAGTAAAGATTTAAATCCCTGAATCTGTGCCTTCCAGGGCACCTAGCGTCTGAGTAAAGATTTAAATCCCTGAATCTGTGCCTTCCAGGGAGCCTAGCGTCTGAGTAAAGATTTAAATCCCTGAATCTGTGCCTTTCAGGGCACCTAGCATCTGAGTAAAGATTTAAATCCCTGAATCTGTGCCTTCCAGGGCACCTAGCGTCTGAGTAAAGATTTAAATCCCTGAATCTGTGCCTTCCAGGGAGCCTAGCGTCTGAGTAAAGATTTAAATCCCTGAATCTGTGCCTTTCAGGGCACCTAGCATCTGAGTAAAGATTTAAATCCCTGAATCTGTGCCTTCCAGGGCACCTAGCGTCTGAGTAAAGATTTAAATCCCTGAATCTGTGCCTTCCAGGGCACCTAGCATCAGTGTAACTGCTATCTTGCGCTGAATTAAATAAAAATCTACAACTTCTATGCTACTCTCTACTTTAATCTACTAGTCAAAGTAAATAAATATATAATGATGAGGCGAGAAAACAAATAGCAAGAGAGGTGAGAATGGACAACAGCTCAATTAGCCTGCCCTTCGCTGGGTTCCTGCTTAGATCTCATGCTGATTCTAGCTCAACTTGTGCCATTACAGAGAGAGCATATCTGAAGCATATCAGACTGGTCCCACCCGAACAGGCAATCCAGGTCTGAAATGCCTGCAAGTTCCCTCTGCACGAGATACGGCAACTGCAGACGATCATTTCCACCTTGTTAGGTATCATCAGTGAGATATAACCAATATCTAGGCACCGTGAGCAAGGGGTCCACGTTTGGATTGCCCTTTAAACATAAGGAGAGAAAAACAAGTAGCAAGAGAGGTGAAAACGGACAACAGCTCAGTTAGCTTTCCCTTTGGTGGGTCCATTGTAATGTTGTTTTAGTTGTATTTTCCCATTTGGTACCCCTTGTGACCTGTCGACCGACACTAAGGCCTGGGCCTCCGACCTGTCACTATCTTGTCAACGCATTCCCATCCTTATGGCAAACTGTATACCCCTTCCACTTTCATGCCACAGCAGGTACAAAGTCAAAAGGTTTATCAGTACTTGTCAGCAAACAAATCTCCATCAAACTGCAGCATGAGGTTTAATATACGGTGGGCAGATATGCTATATTAGTGTGAACCATTAATAATGTACTATACATGGGCGGGGCTTTACCTCCATGGCACCTAGATATGCTTTGGGAAAGCTCCTTGACAAATTCCTAATAAACTGAAATTTGACTATAATCCCTTTTAAAGTGAGCTATCCAGTGTCCTACCTCAACTCTCATGGGGCTGGTCCACAGTGGAGGAGCTGCAAGAGACATTCCTGGCCGTTTCAGCAACATTTGCTGTGCTGCCTGGGAGGCACAATCAGTGGGAGAGGCGGCCAATCTCTTGGTCTGAAGTACTCCAAATCTCAACTCACTTACTCTGGTGCCCCAGTGACTTCCGCTGCACTCCCGGTGAACAAGAGCAGATCCAGGCCCAGGACAAACCAGACAAGGGCAGCCAGGTCATTTTAAGATAGAAGAGGACAGATGCACCCTATCATCGGGCCTGCACAAATGGTCATATCCTGCTCCTTCCCGAATGCATGAGTCAATGGGGAGGGTCACCAAAGCTAGTGCTTGGCCCATCCCCATGTTTCAGCTTGCTATTCCCTTAGCCTACACTTGGTCTACTGTGTTTGGCAGCTGCCATACCAAAGCGGGACTATGATCAGCCTCAGAGAGGAATAGGATGTTCGTAGTCTGTGACTCTTACTGACAAGCTTTCATTCCTCCCTGCTGCATACACAGTGTATAGTCTTAATTTATTTTATTTTATCTTACTTTTCCAGAGTATATTTTACTGGGTTTAAAATTGTTATGTATGTACTAACCTGATGTTTAATTCCTTTTGGGGGCCTCTTGGGTGTATTATTGGTAATAATCTCCATGTCTAGATAGCCTTATCGGTTTACAAGCTTAACTCTTGTCTAATGTTTGGACATGTCTACCAAGCCAGACTACGTTATTTCATTAAAATTGTGCACTACCCTCGAAATGCCATAGAACTGTTTTGCTATGTATCCTGATGTACTTGCTAGTGCTGATGGGGCATTGCAAGCTTGTTTGTATTTCTATGCCATACAAAAATTAAAATTACAAAATAATAATAATGTGCTATACACTATAGCCAACGTGTATACCCCAAATTCCGACCAGAGAAAGTTTCTTCCCATTTAACAGGGAATTGTAATCATATTTTTAACCCTATATATTTGATCCTACAATAGACTATACTCTAGAGGCTACTACCCCACGATATGCATGCCTTAAGCGTTCATGCAAAACTCTCAGTAACCTTTTTAAAAAAATTTTTTATTTTCTATACATAGCAAGAAGTGACACAGAAAAAAAGAAACATGGATGGGGAGAGAGAATAAAACACAATGAGTGTATGCATCATAATTTCATACAGATCAGAGTTGACAGGTGCTCGTGCCCTCTCCACTGCCTTCCACCTTGTAGAAACCTCCCTTAGCATCATGGGAATGTGATTTGAAGTTGGGTAAGGTCAACACTAGTATTTGGCATAGTAATAATGTCAAATTTTAGGTGTGAACCCCTTGTTCTCCAGATATAGTGCAGTATGAGAGAACAGAGGAACTTGAAGAAATTGTTAGGCAGACAAATGGGTAGAATCTCAAAAAGATTTTTGGGAAAAGATTAATCTTAAAGATTCCTATCCTCCCCTATCATGTAATGTGCAGTATAGACTACTCTTTCATAAGCTGCCAGAATCTGCTGAGCATGGGTAAGACATTGTGAAAGTAAAGCTGACTCACATCAGTGGTCACCCACACCCCCAGTATTTGAGGGAGGTAATGGACCGAAACAGGAAGGTTTGTCGGATCGGGTAGACAGCCCAAGCAGGCAGGGATACATTCAAGGTGTATTGTAGAGTAATATGTAGGTTGGACAGGGAGCCATATTTGTCAAGTTCATTTAATACATAAGGGCAGGTAACATAAAACAGCAAGTCATTGGCACAAGTTGCTACTTTATGTCGCTCCCTACCTATTGCCATCTCTCATATGTCAGGATTAAGCTGTATCACTTTGAGAAAGGTTTTGAGAGCAAGGACGAAGAGCAGCAGCGACAATAGGCAGCCCTGGCATGTATTCCAAAGAAGTCCTCATTGACACACACCCTGGCAGATGGGGAGACTGCATTAATGGGGCCAACCACATGTGGTGGAGTGTGACAAAGATGGATGTCCAGTTAACCTGGTCAAAGGCATTTTCCACATCTATTGACTAGAGAAGAAGATCCCGGGAGTCTGTTTTTGCTTGATGAAGCAGGTCAAGAAACTAAATAGTGTTGTCTATCGCACCCACCCCCCTGTAGTATGAAGTCAGTTTGGTCCTTGTTTATGAGAGAGCCTAGGTGAAGTTTGTAGTGCATGGCCAGTATTTTTGCAAAAAAGCTTTATATCAAATTTCAGGGAGGAAATTGGGCGGTAGCTCGCATAGTGCTCTACATCCTTGCCCTCTTTGGGGATTATTGTGATATTCATTGACGAAGTTTGCCTTGGGTTTGCAGTGCGATTCTAAATGGCATTAAACTCTGTGACAATGCATGGGTAAAGTGTGGAAGCAAATTTTTTTATTATGTAAATGTCATCCCATCAGGCCCTGGACTTTTGCTGGTCTGTGTTGTCTTGATTGCTAGAACCAGTTCTTTCCCTGTAAGATGGTCTTCTAGGAGTTGTGCATCCATACAGGAGAGTTTATGCTGTGCGTGTAACTGCAAATATTCGTCAACCATCTGTGTCAGGGACTAGCTGTAGTGAGGAAGTGCATAGAAACAAGTGTAATATGAGTGAATCTACCCCTGTGTTTTGCATCTTGCCAATGCACGTGGACGCTCTGCACTTAGCAATCAAAAATGGTAGGGTATTTGGGAGAAAAGACCAGTCCAGTTGATCACACAAAAGCATGTCCTGTAACCAAGATACCAGACCCTCTTGGTTAATCTCAAACTAAACAGTTAACACTTTGCAGTAGACAAAAAATGGTATATAGGTCGCGCTGTAGGAACAAAGGGATAATATAAAAAGAGAATAAATAAATAAATAACTAGAAAAGCTACAATTTCTGGGGAAATTGTGTGAAGTGTTCTTGCCTCCACCAGTAGTCTACAACTGGAGTGGGCGGAGTAATTGTTATCATTTATATAGCACATTTAATTGCAACGATGTTGCACAGTTACATTAAACCATACATTTATAAAAACATTAGCAGGTGTTCAAAAGGCCCTGTCTATGACATCACTTGCTGCTGCAGCTTGACACAGGTCAGAGTATTTTGGCGGTTGCCATCTTCAAATGGTCGTATTTTCAAAACTATAGATCCTACAGTGAAGAGCTTTATATTGTGAGAATCACAAGACCCAGACCTACATTTCGATGCATAGTATGTCTCTGAAGTATTAAAAATGAAGGCACAGTCGCAGTTTAGAAATTGCACTTCAAATTTGAGCTTTGTAGAGGGGAGTTTCAATGAAAGTCAATGGACAGCGTTAGTTGCAAACAAATGATTAGATTGTGAAAACTATCAGGACTATGGCTTAGCCGTTGACATGTTTAGTGGCAGCAGGGATAGCTGAACGTTTTGATATAAGATTTGTGTAGGTGGGCCTGAAAATAAGGGAGTGGTGGCAGTTTAGAAATCATGTCCTGATTTTTCAGCTTTTGCCATCTCCCACTCTAGCTTTGCCATTCATTCCTATGGGACAAATTTCGCCACAAGAACGACGATATTCCGTGAACCATTCGGCGAAACGTTCCACAAAGTAATAGCAATCCGATCGGGAACAATCTGCACGTTTTGGTAAATTTTTGTCTGTAAAAACTGTGGGAGGAGTAGGGTGGCAAATTTTGAATAATAATAACTAGAAAAGCTACAATTTCTGGGGAAATTGTGTGAAGTGTTCTTGCCTCCAACAGGAGTCTACAAGTGGGCGGAGTAACTGTTATCATTTATATAGCACATTTAATTGCAACGTTGTTGCACAGTTACATTAAACCATACATTTATAAAAACATTAGCAGGTGTTCAAAAGGCCCTGTCTATGACATCACTTGCTGCTGCAGCCTGACACAGGTCAGAGTATTTTGGCGGTTGCCATCTTCAAACGGTCGTATCTTAAAAACTATAACTCCTACAGTGAAGAGCTTTATATTGTGAGAATCACAAGACCCAGACCTACATTTTGATGCATAGTATGTCTCTGAGGTATTAACATTGAAGGCACAGTCGCAGTTTAGAAATTGCACTTCAAATTTGAGCTTTGCAGAGTGAAGTTTCAATGAAAGTCAATGGACGGCGTTAGTTGCAAACAAATGATTATATTGTGAAAACTATCAGGACTATGGCTTAGCCGTTGACATGTTTAGTGGCAGCAGGGATAGCTGAACGTTTTGATATAAGATTTGTGTAGGTGGGCCTGAAAATAAGGGAGTGGTGGCAGTTTAGAAATCATGTCCTGATTTTTCAGCTTTTGCCAGCTCCCACTCTAGCTTTGCCATTCATTCCTATGGGACAAATTTCGCCACAAGAACGACGATATTCCGTGAACCATTCGGCGAAACGTTCCACAAAGTAATAGCAATCCGATCGGGAACAATCTGCACGTTTTGGTAAATTTTGTCTATGTAGTGTAAAAACTGTGGGAGGAGTTAGGGTGGCAAATTTTGCTATAATAATAATAATAATAATATATATGTGAGATAACATTAAGTGGTCTTGCTATGCAAGAACACTTAATAATAATAATAATATATATGTGAGATAACATTAAGTGGTCTTGCTATGCAAGAACACTTAATAAAAAGTCCCAAATAACAAATCAACCTGTATGATTCTTGGGTATATATAGAGTCCAATAAGTATCTGAAACTTCTTATGTTGGAGGCATCTTGGTTCACTTGTTGATGTATGGGTACATAGAAAAGACAAGAGAGACTCCAATAGTGCAGAATGTCGACAAATGGACAAGTAGAAATCTGTAAGTAAGTAAAACACTCACCTATTAATGAGCAAAGAAACTTGCTCAAGTATTCTCAGCATTCAGTGGCGTTAATCCCTCATATAGGTGATGGGATCCTTAAAACTTCCTCGATATGTGAAAAAATAAGAGACGTATATAGTGCTCACTGTATGGTTTAAAAAACAGATGAAATGGTAGGATACTCACATGTATATGAGCAGGATCTACTGCTCAGTGTAATGGCACATGTGGTACTATCCCCACCGAGGATTCTTGAGAAGTAACGTGCTCCAATTCGAATCGGTGACCATGTAATTCAAAACAAGATAATAAATGAAATAAATTAGTAAAGGGTATATATAGGCAAAAAAAAAAATCCAATATTCCTTTATTTATAATATAATATGTCAATATAAAAAACAGTATATGAACAGCCAAAACGCGTTTCACCACACAGGGCTTTATCAAATGGCATTAAAAGACATTTGATAAAGCCCTGTGTGGTGAAACGCGTTTTGGCTGTTCATATACTGTTTTTTTTCACATATCGAGGAACTTTTAAGGATCCCATCACCTATATCCGACCAGTGGGGGATTAACGCCACTGAATGCTGAGAATACTTGAGCAAGTTTCTTTGCTCATTAATAGGTGAGTGTTTTACTTACTTACAGATTTCTACTTGTCCATTTGTCGACATTCTGCACTATTGGAGTCTCTCTTGTCTTTTTTACGTACCCATACATCAACAAGTGAACCAAGATACCTCCAACATAAGAAGTCTCAGATACTTATTGGACTCTATATATACTCAAGAATCATACAGGTTGATTTATTATTTGGGACTTTTTATTATTTATTTATTTATTCTCTTTTTATATTATCCCTTTGTTCCTACAGCGCGACCTATATACCATTTTTTGTATATTTTATTCTCTGTGAGGTTTTTCGAGGGAATCTCATATTTATAGGTTGCTGCTTCCTTACTTGTCTTAGTTTCTAATAGATTATTTAGCGCTGAACCGTTATCTATTTGTAACACTTTGCAGTAACCTGTAAACAATCAAATATCAGAATCAAAAATGATTCCTTTGTTTCTACAGGATAGGTGGTGGAAGAGAAAACTAGGTTATTATATACCCAACAGCCCAATAATCACTCTGGTAAATAGCCAAGCTTGGCAGAGCAGGAAGCAGTCCGCTGTGGAGCATGCACAGGCCACACAGTGTGGCAGGGAGCAGTGTCTCTCTGGCAGATGGTCTGTAGACGATCTCCCTCTTCCAGGGCTCCTCACACGTAGCTTGATTCCATGGAGCGAGACAGTGCTGGTCCTCCCACTGGGGCAGAGACAGGACACATACAGGTGTAGAGAGTCTCAATGTAGAAGGTAGCAAGGTGTATGTCTTCCGGCATCAGGAATATATCAGCAAGTTCTTGAAACATAGTGCCAGGTGGGCCAGGATCCAGGAAATGGAAAAGTCAACCATCCTAAGGGACTCTACCACAGGCAAGCAACAAGCAAAGGGGCTGGGGTGATTGTGGGAGGTGAATTTTGTGCTTCCAGGACCCGGGTAAGTGGTTTAAGGACCCAGTGGTAACCCAGTGTTGCCAAGGAGAGATCTGGAAAAAACTGATGCTGACACTTGAGCTTGGCAGACTCCCTAGCCATGCGGAGGATGTCTTTCTTCAACCCAAAATTCACCATACAACAAATAACATCACGTGGGTGACTATTTGAGGGGCCCCTTTGACCTCAGGGAGCTAGGAGCCTGGATGTATTCAATAGGGTTTTCGATTCCCTATTGAATTCAGGAGACCATTGAACATCTATGAGAGCATGGCACGTAACAGAAATGGAGAATCCTCCTGTTCTTGCAGTCTGTGGAGAAGTACGTTGCATATGTGCCCTCTATTGTTCAGGTCAGCTATGTATAGTGCCATGGATTATATCTGGTCAGTTTGGCAGTAAGGCTGTCATTCGTAGCAGTCTGGGCTTCCAGAATGTTGACTGTGTCAGCCTCTAATCTACCCACCCTATCATTGAGGCCTTTCCGGTTCTCCATTGTTAGCTGGAGATCCACCTTGATTGGGGCCTACAGTGCCAAGTTGGTGTCCCTGCAGATCTGCTTTGGTGCGGAGGGCCCATATGAGAGCCATCCAATCTGAGTCGTCTGGCAGGGATTCCGGGTCCCCACTTGACAAAGGGAACTGGAAGCCATGCAAAGGCAACTTCAATAACTGCACCATTCAAATACAAAATGTATGATACCATTGTATACACTTGTATAACTTTTTGTGAATGTATCATGCTGTATGGAGATTTATTTGTACTGCTGTATTAACACTCCAATAAGAATTGACAAATTAAAAAAAAAAAACATAATTTGCTAGCTTTTAAGATTTTGTAGCATTTTAACACTCTTCTCCGGCACATCATCAAAAAACTCTTAATCACATCAACCTGTGAAGAAAATTTACATTCTATTGTTGTCAAAGATGTTGTAAAAAAAAAAAAAGTGTTGGAAGCAGTCTCCTATGCAAATCATATCTACTGATGACTTCCAATTAGTGTACCAAAATCATGAAAATCCAAAATATTTTGGCGCCATAGCACAAACCTTTTAATGAGCAGTGTGTTATGTTTTCATTTTTTGGCACATTGTATACACTGATTTATACAGTTAGTAAACAGATTATTGTACTTAGTAGCAGAATATATATATATAATTATTTTATTATTTATTTTTTGAATAAAAGTATTTCCAACAAAGCTTAAAAAACAACAATAACCCAATCCAAATAAATTAGGGCAAAAGTGTGATATACAAATATTTGCAGCAGCATTTTTTAATCAATATAGCCTGACTCTACAAATAAAAACATTGGGCGGGAATAAGATCTCAGCCTTACAATCTCAACTGTTTCTGAATTCTGGGAACAGCAGGGAGCAGCAGCCATCTTGGATGTGGCAAAATTGCATAAAAAAAACAAAAAACAGTTTTGGTCTCGCAGAACCCCAGTATGATGAGTCACACTCTTCTCATCATGTAGCTTTAACTAGACCAATGTTGCTGATAAGATTTTCCATTTCTTGTAGTTAGTGCTACTGCCACCCCATGTAGATATTGTGGTTCACTGTGATGTTGTGCCCTATGCACTCTGATGAGGATCTTAAACCGTGTGTTGGCAGGCAGTGTAATTCTTTGTATTCACTTGAGATGTACAATACTAGATACAATATTTAATTTATGTAAACATAGTCCCGCAATTTAGCCAAATCTTTTGGTTAATAAAGATTCTTCACATTTGATCTCTATGCAGCTGCGTTCCACGTTACCATGTGATACTATGAACTGTCTTGATTATTTTCAGCGATATATAATATAACAAAGCAATGAGATCTTCTGTGGCAAAACAAACAAGAAGACCTCGGAAAACTCAAGTTCATAAAACTGTCTATTACTAGCATGTTCTAGACTTGCACACGGTGAGATGAATCGACCCATTTTTCCTGAAAATAGAAAATATTTCCGGAAATCGGAATTTTGTTCAAACGTAGAAATTTGGAACTGAAATTTATTTTTTACTGCTCCTCCTTTTTTCCCCTGTCAATGGCTCACTTATCACTTGATCTGTGAATAAAAGCAACATTAAGTGACTATCCCCAAGTCATCAATCATTGTCTTTTTCCCATTATCCTCTATCTGTTTGGTACCACAAGGAGAATTCAGACACAGATACATTATCCAACTCACAAATCTTAGTTCAGTAACTAGAAAAATCAGAAAGTAGTGAGTGGCCAGGCTTAACGTATAGGATAAATAGCGAAAAACTGTAATTCTAGCCAAGATAAGGATAACAGAAATACAGGAGTATGATATAACTAGCTGGGTCAGGATTATAGAGGTTATCAACGTCACATAACAAGCCAAAGTCAGAATATTGGAAACTCAGAGAATACTATCACGCATTGTATGAGGAACCAGAAGGAAACCACAACAGGACAATGACCATGGGGCTCCAACTTTATTTAAATATTTGAAGGCACTCTGATTCATGTCACCCCTGTGACTCCATAAAGTGCTGGAACGAGGTTACAGTCATGATACGGTTTTCCTGGAACCGGCAATGATGCAAGGCGTCGTACTGGTAGAGGGGTGCAGAGTTTATCTCCCTGCCTGGAGTCACATAAGTGTCTGCCTCCCTATTGGTGCATTCATAAGTTTGAATTTAAGCTCAGATCGGGAGGGCAGATGAGGATTGGAAATCAAGGCTTCCTGATTGACGGCTGTGCTGTTCACACAGAAATGCTGGAGCAGTACCTCAATTGGGTACGTACTGAGATAAATTCAGAATCCCAAACCAATAGGAAAAATGCTCGCCCATTGTGAATTTCAGTTGGTTTGTATTTCACATACATTTTGTGTTGGAGTTGAGGAATTCGACTGATCACACGATCGGCCAAAATTAGGACGAATTACAGTTTGGACCAAAACAAGTCTAGTACCTTCTTATATAATATTCAGAAGTAATTAAAGTACTGGTACACATTTCTATGTAATTCTCTGTTAATTCTTATATAATATTCATATAGTAATTAAAGTACTGATATACATTTCTATGTCATGCTCTGTATTGCTCCCTTGTCCCCCTAAGAAAAGTAATTTAATTAGATCAGCTTTAAGGTAAAATCTAAAGTCGAGCAAACAGAAGGAACTTTAAATAATTGGTTTCCTTTGTGACTGCCCAACTTTTAGAACTTTAGAAACAGAATTAATTTTTGTACACAAAGAGCCCTTTGGTGTTTCCTTCAAATTGTATAGTTCTGGAAGCTTGCATGAATCCATAAGTTTTGCATGAAAAGTAGGAATAGAAAAGTTGCTATTAAAGTTCTTTTTCTCACAATTAGTAGTTATTAATCACATCAAACATGCATCTCACACCCAAGAGAGAGCCTCTTGATCCTCCTAATACTGGCAAACCATTAACTTTAAATTAAAATGTACAAGTCTAATCATTTTAAAGTGGCTAAAAGCATTAGCTTCCATGTTAATTACCTAATTCTTAATGTATCGTTTAAATATAAATGTCCCTGTAGAATGATGATCCAAGTCTAATTATTTTCATGGGGCAACCATTTCCTCAGATGCAAAGGTTTTAATTTGCCAAAGCTCTCTGCCTGTAAACAACTTTCCTCTTATCACTCAGAGCAGTGGCTGGGCAATGGTTAATCATTGTTTCATAATTACAGTATCATTTTAATTAAAGGAAAATTTCTTTCTACCTAGCTCACCTAATTTGTACCTGATACGGCAACCAAGTTCGTATATTCTTTACGATTTCATTTAATTCATCCAGGCTGCATTCTTTTACAGATTTTCTCACTTCTCTGCCAAATTGCAGAGAGTGGGTTTCCATGGAGACTATGACGGGCTCTTTCAGTCATTATCTCAGAGAAACCTGGGTAATACGGGTCTGAAAAAAAATAAAAAATAAAAATCTTAAAATAAAGTGCTGCCTTATTTAGTTGAGCATGATACACACACATTAATACAATTTAATAAGCAAGAACTTGGAAGAAAAGCCCATCTTGTGTAATGTATCTTATATTTGAATATATAGAACAGATAAAATGGCGTACGTAAGTTTGTATTTCAAAACATGCATTTCAAACAATGTTCACACTAACTAGATTTTGTCAGTTTTCTATAATATAGAGCACAGAATTTATGACTATGAAATCCAGCTAAGCTCCTAGACAATATGGTGAACAGTAAAATGTTTCAAAAATACCTCTTCCTCAGCTTTTACTCTCAATTAGAAATTGTTAGAAATAAACCATGATTATTGTGATGTCATAATCTATATGTTTGCATTTACAATCTAATTAAATTTGTATCTATACCAGAGCCAAATCAGAGTAAATGTCATCTATGTGACTCCACACAAAGCCTCAGAAGTGAAATAAACCAGTCCCCGATAATAAGATAATAAGTTCTCAAAAAACATAATCTTCGGGGGTTTCTGGGAAATTAAAGAGAAGGGTTGTGGTATTTGAACCAAACCAATGAAGCAACACTATAATGTATTGTAGTTCACCTGGTGCCAGAATTACCTTCATGTTATGCATATTGAATAATCCAGTATTCCACCATAATATGAAGATTGTAAAATAGCTCAGGGGATTAAAGCGCCTGGGTGAAATGCACACTATAAGCACAAAATGATAGTTTCCTTAGAGGGTGCTCTCTGTATTAATATTTTTTTATTTGTTATTTCATAATATTTTATAAACACAATACATTACAAACACACAAATACATTATAATAATTATTAGCGCTTCCCGGTTCAAATACAAAAATTAGCATTACACATTTCTCAGAAAGAACCTATCAATTCACAAACATTACAGACATTAACATAACATTATCCCAGTCATCTTAGAAATTATATTACATCTTATAGGAAGCCCCTTCATTTATACCCTTAAAGGAAGGAACCAAAAGAGTATATACTGATTGAATTGAAGTTTTGAGTTATAAAATGTAGTATGTCTTACTACTGATACCATGCTCACTCAAGTTTTATCAGATTATCTATCCAATCGGTTATCCACCTACTGTTTTGCTCTGCCTTTCTATTAATCCACTTAAGACCCAGTTCCATTTTACATTGGAATACAATTTGTTTTTTTTAAATTGGCCAGCTAACAGAAATATCCAGTTTCCAGTTTCTGGCCAGTAATAATTTAGTAGCTGAGAAGAAATGATTTAACATTAATCCTTGACTAGGGTGTAAATCCGGCCAGTCAAGATGCAAAATTGCAATTTCTATTCTTTTATCAATTTTAAATTTCCCTAGAGCCTGCAGCTTTTCATAAGTCATGTCCCATAAATTAACTGCAACTTCACAATTCCACCACATATGTAAGTAGTCTGCCTCATCTTTATTGCACCTCCAACATTTATTATCTTTCATATAAGAGAACTTGGAAATTTTTTTAGGATCCAAATACCAAAAATGTATCACTTTATATTGAGTCTCCATCAGGTTCAAACAGTGTATGTCACGGCTGAATCTACTTATTGCCGCTAACCACTCTTTCTTGGAAATATGAATCTGTAGTAGTTCAGACCATTTATTCATATATTTTCTCCTACCGCCAGCTAAAAATGATATTAAAGCATATGATTTAGCCATTACCTTTGGAGTTATACATTCACAAAATATTTTATTTAGAATATTCAGTACTTTTTACCCTAAGGTAAGAGAACACCTCTTTACTAGGCAAATCATATTCTGAAATCAGATTTGGGAAAGTTTTCATCGACCCTGCTTTAAGTAAATCTGAGACCCTCTCAATCCCACAGCTCTTCCACGTAGTTAATGAAAGGTCTTGTATATTATTTTCCGAGTTCTTAATGCTGAGGCTTTTAATAATTTTATTCTTCTCTCCCACCTTACTCTTAAACATAGGCCAAAATTTCCCAAGATGTCCAATAATAAGACAGTTCTCAGCTATTTCTCTCCAGTTGGGATAATGAATATTCCATAATAAACATGAGAGATCTTTTATTTGAGTTTGTTGACTCTCGATATGATACCAGCTTTCCTCCACAGCCTCTGGAGTTTGCATCAAGTAAATGTGGCTAATCATGTATGCATGATAATAATAATTTTTTAAAATAGGCATACCCAAACCCCCTTCCTTTACTTTATATGCCATATGACATTTATTAATTCGTGTTTTTTTACCGTGCCAGATAAATTAAGAAATACTCGTCTGTGCCATATTTAACCAGCTATCTGGTATTTGAATAGGAAGGTGTCTAAATATGTATAGCCATTTAGGAATAATATAGGCCTTTATCACATTAATCCTACCAATCCAGGATATAAACATGTTGTTCCAACCTTTAAGAGTATAATTCATCTCCTTCAATACGGCCATAAAATGTATTTCCATTATATTATTAACATTCGGTGCAATTTTGATTCCCAAATAATTAAATTCAGACTCTGTCCACAAAAAATCATATTTTAGTTGCATAGCTGCTTTAAATGTATCCTCTAAGTTAATACACATAATCACCGTTTTATCTGTATTTAATTTATAATTAGAAAATGCTGAATACGCATTAATCACCTCCATTAAAGCATGGAGGGATTTATACGGATCCGTAAGTGTCACCAATATGTCATCCGCATACATACTGATCTTAATTTCTCCCTTAGAAATAGGATAACCCTGTATATTATTGCTTTCTCTTATCTTAATTGCTAATATTTCTATTGTTAATATATAAAGCAAGGGTGACAATGGGCATCCTTGTCTGGTCCCATTACCAAGGGGAAACCAATCCGCACATATACGTTGTCCAATAGTTCTAGCAATAGGGGAACTATATAAAGCTTTAACTGCATTACACAACTGTTCTCCGAAACCGTATATTTTTAAAACCTGCATCATAAAGCCCCACTCCACCCGATCAAAGGCTTTTTCTGCGTCTAATGCAAGAATAGCTAGTTCTTTATGTTCTTTTTTAGCCAAATCCAAGATATCAACTACTTTCCTAATATGCGTCCAGGGACGAATCCCACCTGATCTTTAGAAACAACTAATTCGACAACTTTTTTAAGTCTAGCAGCAATAATAGATGCAAAAATCTTGGTATCTGTATTAATTAAAGATATCGGCCTGTAATTTTTTACAAATGAAGGATCTTTATTTTGTTTAGGGATAGGAAGAATATTAGCCGCAAGAAATTCTGCTGGACATTTGGCCATACTTATGAAATTATTAAAAGTTAAGGTCAGCTTCGTTGCAATTCTATTCTTGAAGATTTTGTAAAAGGATTCCCTAAACCCATCGGGTCCTGGGGCTTTTTTTTTCTTCAAAACATCAATGGCTGCTATGACCTCTGACACCTCAATGGATCTACTACTTCCTGTTGTTTTTTATTAATAGTTGGTATATTAAGACCCTTAATAAAATCTGCCAATTTACCTAATTTAGTATTATCCGCACTATTATATAATGCCTTATAGTATTCATTAAATATCCGGCCTATATCATTAGGAGTTCTAAATATCTTATCATTATGTATTATTTTATCAATCCGATGCAGAGCTTGCTGTTTCTTTAGTTTATTCGTCAGCATTCTATCTATATGGTTTCTTTTCATATACCATTTTTGTTGTAATTTCTCAATATTATTAGCAATCAGATTCATATTTATTGCGTTAAGATTATTCTTAATTATTCGGATTTGTTCTGTCTTTTCTTTTGTTGGAATTTCTTTATTACTTTTTTCTAACTTATATAAGGAAATATACATATCCGCTGAATTATTTCTTCTTTTCTTGTTCTCATATGCACCTAACTTAATAAAATGGCCTCTAATAACGGCCTTATATGCTAACCACCTACTCCCAGGAGCCGAATCTTTATTTTCTGAGAAATAGAAGTCTGACATTTTAGCAATATACTCTTTATTTTCATCACTTCTCAGCAATGATTCATTTAGTCTCCACTGTCTAAAAATTTGTTTCTGATTATGATGTATTTCCCAAACTATCGCGTTATTATCAGACCATATTATTGATTTAATTAATACTTTTCTAATGGAGCTCACCAATGCTATATTTCCTAACAACATATCTATTCTAGCATAGGAACAGTGTCTATAAGAAAAATGCGTAAAGTCATATTCCTGGGGGTGGAAAATTCTCCATATATCATATAAAGCAGCCTTTTTCACAACAGTGGAAAGGGCTTTAGCTTTTCGTTGTAATGCTGTATCTATTTTAACCCCTTTTTTCATTCTTTTATCCCATTCCGTGTCTAGGACACAGTTAAAATCCCCCGCCATTATGACCCTGCCTCTTGATATTTTATCTACCTTATCTACTATGTCCTTCATGAAGGCCACTTGGCCCGAGTTAGGGGCATAGATATTAACTAGAGTGTATATCTCATTATTCAATTTACAAATCAGTATAATATATCTAGCCATTGGATCCATTTCCTGATACAATACTTCCCAAGTTACATCTTTCCCTATCCAAATAGCTACTCCGCTCTTTTTTCCTTCCTTCAAGGATGCTTTGATCACAAAAGCAGTTTGCTTCCCAAGGTAAGGCTTAGAGGGTGCTCTCACATACATCTATTATTGTTTTAGAAAAAAGAAATTAACAGCTAATATAATTCAATTTAACGCAGGCCTCTAAAACTCTTATACATTACCTATTCACCATATGGAGTAAGGCAGCAAACATATTAAAAACAGGCACCTTTTTTAAATTTGAGGACCACTCTTCACCAGTCCCTCCACGTCAGTTTCTTCTCAACATGGATCTGTGGGCCTCTTACTTCCACTTTGGGACAATCTGGACTTTCTAGCTCATTGTAAGAGCCATTTAAGCCTCATCCTATGGCTAAACATGTCTTGGCAGGTTCTTATGAGAGTTTAATTCCAGAAGATTGCCTGATAGAATAGTGATCTTCTTACCCTCCCAAAAGCAATCAAGTCTGACATTATTTGTCCGACATCCGGCTCAGCAGTACCGGTTATGCTTTCTTACCGCTTTTGAAATTATGTGCAAGGCTGTTGTGAGGGTGACACTGGGTGGGCCTGCTCTTCTCCATCACCTTCATCTTTATTATGATTTTACCATCCCTATTCTACCCCTCCTGATTTCTTCCTTCCACTCTAAACTTCCCCCTATTTTTTCTCCTTTCTCTAACTCTTTCTTTCTTACTTCATATAGAAACATAGAATGTGACGGCAGATAAGAACCATTCAGCTCATCTAGTCTGCCCAATTTTCTAAATATTTTCATAAGTCCCTGACCTTATCTTATAGCTAGGATAACCTTATGCATATCCCACGCATGCTTAAACTAACTCACTGTGTTAACCTCTACCTCTTCGGCTGGAAGGCTATTCCATGCATCCACTATCCTCTCAAGTAATACTTGATATTATTTGTAAACATTTGCCCCTCTAATTTAAGACTATGTCCTCTTGTTGCAGTAGTTGTTCTTCTTTTAAATATAGTCTCCTCCTTTACTGTGTTTAATTCCCTTTATGTATTTAAATGTTTCTATTATATCCCCCCTGTCTCGTCTTTTCTCCAAGCTATACAGGTTAAGATCCTTTAACCTATCTTTGTAAGTTTTATCCTGCAATCCATGAACCAGTTTAATAGTCCTTCTCTAAACTCTCTCTAAAGTATCAATATCCTTCTGGAGATACGGTCTCTAGTACTGCGTACAATACTCCATTGACTACAACCCTCTGTTGCCTGTCACTCAGCCACTGCCTTACCTATTAAACAATATTGGAAACCAAACTTAAAGACTGCAGTTTATTGATAAGCTTTCTATGTGCAACAGTGTTGTGACGGATCGCCTGGCACCCCGACTGGGTACCTCCGTCAATCGCTGCTTCCTAGTACTTGCGAGCACCATAAGCACTGCACTGGAACATCATAACCACCGTAAATCCCACAAACCGCCACAGCTTTGTTGGGGTCTCGCTGTCCTCCACCGCCCCGGATCCAAGTCCAGCTTCCAGTGGGTAGATCTCTCCGATCTGAGTGACCAACATATCCAAAAATTACCCAGATCAGTTGAGGGGTTCAGGAATTTCCTGGAAGTCTTATTTTTGACCGACCGTCCACATGGTCCCATGCCCACAACAGTTCCAGAGAATCAGGGCTTGTGGTTGGTCTAGAAATGAACAAACTATTGAACAGAGTCAATAGTCTTACCCTGGAGCTTGTTCCCCTCATCCAGACGAACGATTTCACCGAACAGTGCCCTTCTAAATTGTATAGAACTGAATGCAGGCGATGATGGAAGTCCAGCGGTGTTCTGGAGATCTGTGTCCAATTTTAGTTCCATGAGATTCATGCCCAAACACCGCTGCCTGCGTTCATGCGAACAAGATGGCCGCCACCTTGTGGTTGTCCATAGGAATTGCGGCCACCCAGACGAACAATTAGAACACTGCAGTGAGAACCGTTCCAAGGTGTTAATAGGTGTTAACAAGCTCCTGGGTGGTCCCTGGTTCATTCGGTTGTTCGGTAGTCGAATGCG